AGCTAGGGCAAACAAGGAAGAGTCACCATTATTGCAAGGCTTGTATTGCTGATAGGAAAAATTTAAGGTAAGAGAGGAAATTGCTCTTTTATGAGTGTTTAGCATGATGGGGTAAGGAGAAGTCCTTCCTCTCCAATAGGTTATATTCTCCATTATTGTGAGTTGATGTTTTATGTGTGTTGATGATGAGTTCATGCGAAAAATATATTATATGTCGTGTTATTATATGAAATGCATGCACTATAATATGTTGTTTTGATACATGTTATATTGTGGATCATGAGCAAGTAGCTAATTCCAGTGAGAGATTTTTGGTGTGCTCTGGTCCTATGGTGGAGATTAAGTGCGAGTAGCTAATTCCAGTGAGGGATTAGTGAAGCGTTAATATTGTTGGGAAAAAACAAAGCATAGAGAAAAAAAGGAAGAAAATAACAACACAAGAGATAAACGTGGAAACTTTAAAAATGGAGAAAAAACCACGACCATTGTCAAATGACAACTAGAGAATAATACTATGTGAATATTGTTACAAGACATAGACTACTCTTAACTACGCCAAGACCCCAATACATCCACATCATTAAAAGTAAATATTTAACTATTTCTCACAACACTCTAAAACAAGAGTGTAAGAGAAAATATAACAAGTCAAATATAAGCTTAAGGTGTTTTTGACTAGTATATCTTAGAACAAAGAACTTGAATCCTTGGACTCTTTCTTCCTTCACAAAACTAAGCGATGCAGGACTTAAAATAAATTTAACCCTATATATAGTCTTGGACTCCATCTTAGTTCACAAATGAACCAATATGAGACTTCTTCAACATGTATATTTTTCAATCAACCCCAACAATATCCACCTTGACTGAAAATAATACATTAACTTTAATTCTATTCACCAAAACTCATACTCCACCATAAAGAGTATAGTCACTTGAAGCTTCACACTCCAAGAATTTTCACATTCTCTTCACCGAAAATCATAGTTTTAAAAACTATCATACTCTATTTAAAGAAGAGTATACTTCACTTGAAGGTAAATCACTTCAAGAATTTTCACATGCCGAAAATCAGGTTGAAAATTTACGATGAAACTTCCATGTTGGTAGAAAGCTTTTCATACATCGACATAATATCACAATAAATTTTGCATCAATGTCCATGTGTTAATCTGCTAGTAATAACTCGTCGTTTTCCATGACATCAGAAATGTCATGAGGACACACTTCTCAATTTTCAGAGAAGACCATCCTCTCTCACATCGAGAAAGACATTGCTGGCATTTGACTTAGACCCATTCTTTGACGTTACCCCATCAGGAGACTTATACTTTATATGTCAAATATTTCCACATTTTTAACATCTCACACCATTTCATTATTTTTCTTCACATAAGACATTCTTCTAGAAACCAACACTGAGTTTGATGAAGTATTATCCTCACCCTTCAATCTTCTTTCTTCATAAATAATTTTACTAGCAACTTCCTCAAAACTCAAAGTTTCCTTCCCATATATTAAAACAAGATTAATATCACTACTACGAATTTTTTTTTAACAACGGTTGAAAAATATATATAATCACGCGGGTTCAGACATTGTTATCTAGAGTGTTGTTGTAAATGTGTTACTTACAATTACGGTCCTATAACCGTTGTAGTATAGTGGAAAGTTCGCGTGATATCATAATAATTATTTAACTTAACTGTTGTTGTATGTCTTTTAATAAATAAAAAAAATAGCAGTAGAACAACAATAGCGGTAATAACAAGAACAACAACAAGAACAACAACAACATGAACAACAACAATAACAATAATAACAACAAGAACAACAACAACAACAACAAGAACAAGAACAACAACAACAACAACAAGAACAACAAGAACATGAACAAGAACAACAAAAATAAGAAGAACAACAAACAGAACAACAAAAACAACAACAAGAAGAAGAAGAACAACAACAATAACAACAGCAACGTACAACAATAACAATAACAAGAACAACAATAATAAAAATAAGAACAATAAGAACAACAACAACTAAAAAAAGAACAATAATAACAAAAACAACTAACATTGCTAACTTGAATCCATACTTTCCTTGTCTCATTCAAGATTGAGAATAGATAACAGAGTTCTGAAATTTATAAATTAAAGAAATTATGATTTCGAGTTTTCTTTATGGAAGAAATGATATTTCCGAGCTTGGTTTAGTGGAGAAATAGAGTGTCGTAAATGAAAGATGTTGTTTGAAAGTAAAATATGAAGTTCGTCTAAGTTGGAAGTTTATATAAGTTTTAGGTTTTTCACATTGACCGCTAACGGTAGTGTCCTGAGCGCTGATAGTCCTTGAATGGACGATTGAGATTTATTTAAGGATGATGAAGAAACTCAATAAATATACTACATACAACAACATTCATATTAAATAACCGTTATTGTATATCTTTTAATAAAATATAAAAATACAACAGTAGAACAACAACAACAACAATTGTATTAAATAACTGTTGTTGTATGTATTTTAATAAAATATAAAAAATATAACATTAGAACAACAACAACGTCAAGATTCGAACTCATGATCATGCGCCACTTTTTACCATGGTTGGAGCTTCCAACCGTGGTAAAAAGTGGCTTAAATGTGAAAATAAATAAAAAAGCGCCTAGTTGAATAGATTCTACCATGTTGAATCTTTTGACGTACTGACTTGAGCGTTGTTGTTTGCGTGTTTTGTAGTAGTATATGTTCATAGGAAGATAGGAGAGACCATATGAGTCTCAAAGCTTTATCTTCATCTTCAATCTTGATTCCAATAATTTCTAATTCATAAACAATACCATTGAGAATACTTAGATGATCAAATACTTTTGTATGTTCATTCACACACAAGCTATACAACTGCTCCTTTAACAACAACTAATTTGATATACACTTTTCTTGATATAGCCCTTAAAGTTTCTCTCAAAGCTCTTTAGTTGGCGACATACCAAGAATATTCACAAGAATATTCTTAGGCAAAGACATAGAGATTGTACTCGAAGCTCTCAAATATAGTTCCCCCCACTTTTTATTGTCCATGTTGGAAATATTTCCTTTCAACGCCTTGTGTAATCCTAATTGTATCAAAACATTATTTACTTGAATTTTCCACAAGTCAAAATTGATTTTTCCGTCAAATTTTTCTAAGTCAATCTTCGCTGCACTTAAAAAACTTGACAATGCAACCAAAATCTTTGCTACAGTAAAACAAAGTTTTTCCGACTAACACAGAGTATAAAATTTCTTTTCTGATGTGGAAGATCAGACAAAACTGCAACCACAAAGCATACTAAAATTTATACCCACTAAACCAAGACTCTTGATAACACGTGTTGGAAAAACAAAACATAGAGAAAAAAGAGAAACAAAATAATAACACAAGAGATTAATGTGGAAACTCTAAAACTGGAGAAAAAACTACGACCGTTGTCAAATAACAATAAGAGAATAACACAATGTGAAAATTATTATAACACATAGAGTATTCTGAACCATCCAAAGACCCTTAATACACCCACATTCTTTAAAGTAAATATTTAACTATCCCTCACAACACTCTAAAATAAGAGTAAGAGAAAAATATAAAAGTCAAATAAAAGCTTAAAGTGCTTTTGATGGTACATCTTAGAACGAAGACCTTGAATCCTATATATAACCTTGAACTTCCTCTTTCTTCACAAAACTAAGCGATGTGGGACTTAGAAGAACTTTAATCTTATATATAGCCTTAGACTCCATCTTCATTCACAAAACTAAGCGATGTGAAATTTCTTCAACATGTATATTTTCAACCAACCCCAACAACTATATGGTGATTAATAGCGATTTTTGCCGTGCTCTGGTCCTATGGTGGGGGATCGAGAGCGAAATGAGTTTGTGTTGTCCATAAATAGTATCACATGCATATAAAGTCAGTTGAAGAGTACATTTGCATATATATTTGCATATGTGATTGATTTTTCACGGTGTTGTTGATTGGTTGAGAATTCATGACGTGATTGGTGATTTGTTGTGGTTAGCGTGTGTATGTGATGATTATGTAAATAATTCTACCATTGCTTTGTTCTACATTGCTAATATATTTTGAGTGTATTCTCATCCCTTTTTTGTTTAATTGTGGTGTTTGTGCTCTTATGGAGTACATGTAAGCAAGTAACGGCTTGAGATAGAGGACGACTATGTCTCCTTAGTTGCTTATTCATTTGAGTCATAGTGGAGTCGCTCTGATATGTAACATTGAGGGAACAAGTTATTCTTTGTTTTATTCTCGCTTTTATGCTATTTTGAAGTTGTTAAACCATTTATGACATTTTTTACGAATCGATGAAACTATGATGTCAAACATGATTATTTTCGCTTGTGTATTTTAAAAAAGATTAATTGATTTAGTGTTTGTTATGATTGATGGATCCCGAGTAACACTCTAAATTTAATTTGATCGTATTATAGTAATTATGTTAAATCATAATTACTTATCATATAATTACTTAAAAATATTTTGATTAGATATGTATGTAATAATTCACTGCAAACCCTTTCAAAAATTAGTGATATGATAATTTAATCTTTATCTTTGTAGTCTCTAAGTCAAATACTATTTACACATACTTCATTAATAGACGTAATAAGTAAAAGAAGGTTCTATTGGCCATATTTGACAACAGAATTCTAAATAACCACACTTGGAGGTGGGATTTGACCAAAAATAAAAGAATAAGTTGACGTGGAATGGGATAGTAGGAGAAATTACGATACTATACAACATTCGTATTCTGTGCTGCTAGTGTAACAAACCCCGCTCTAACATCAGATCCCGTCCACATAGTACCTTACCGTCTTTTCCCCCCATTTCCCTTCTTCAATTCCCTCATTCTCCATACCCTAAAAACTCCAAATTCTTCTTCACACCTCAAACCAAAACTGCTACTCAATTAGGGTTTTCTTCATAAATGATGGGAATTCGACCTCAGCAATCTGTAGACGAAGACGACGAGGATCTTCTAGGTTGCGGAACTACGGTTTCCGGCCAATCAGGCTCCACCAGCAGGAGTGCCGGTATGCCGTCTACCGGGACTGCCGCTGGTGACAACGCTGCTCTCAAATTAAACCATCTTGATATACAGGATGATGATGCTGCATCACAGGGAGTAGTTGCGTGAGTTTTATTGCATTGTGTTCTTCATGTGATGATAATTGTTTGAATTGATTCTTATGAACTCGATATCTATGCAGTAGCAAGAAGAAAAAGAGAGGTCAACAAAGGGCTGTTGGTGGTGATAAAAGTGGAAGAGGGCTTCGCCAATTTAGCATGAAAGGTTTACTTATTTTACCCTAGCAAAGTTGCATCTAGTATGCAGACTATTGAGATGCTGATTGTCAAATTTATGCTGACAGTTTTCTTTCTGGGTTTGCCTCTAATTTGTTGTTGCTTATTTCCAGTTTGTGAGAAAGTAGAAAGTAAGGGAAGAACAACTTACAATGAGGTTAGGTGGTTGCTCTAAGTCAGTTTTTGCTATCTTGAAATCAATCTCTTGCTTCCTTTGGTGAATTATATGCTTAGGATTTTATGTACATAATAACAGATTTTAATATGTGTTCTCTTAAATAATTTTGTCGATAATTATCATGATAGCTTCCGGGGATGAAGTTGATTGTGGTAATTATTCGTCTTGGGGACAAGTGGACTTGAAGCCCGCCTTTGCATTAAATCGTCCATATTGTCTATGTCTTTCTTACTTGTTTTTATTCCTGTTTTCCTCGTTTGATTCTTGACTTTAATGTAGTTATTTTTATACTGTAGGTGGCAGATGAACTTGTGGCTGAGTTTGCTGATCCGATCAATAGTGTTTTGTCTCCTGATAAGGTTTTCTTTCCTCCACAAGCTATTTCAATATTATATGCTACTATGATATTTAAGGTATATTAGTATTGTTCACTTACTTTTTGTGGGGAATGAACATTTACCAGCAAACATACGATGAGAAAAACATTCGGCGAAGGGTCTATGATGCTCTGAATGTTCTCATGGCAATGGACATTATCTCTAAGGATAAAAAGGAAATACAATGGAGGGGTCTTCCTCGTACTAGTCTGAATGATATTGAAGAGCTAAAGGTTTGCCCACACTCTTGATTTTAAGATCGAATACAAAAATTGATTGATTTGTAACTTTTTGGCTCTATGTGGCTTATGCTTTACCTGGAATGATGTTCCGAGCTAATCCTAAAGTACAATAGAGGACCATTTTAACTCTTCATTTGATTCAACAGACAGAGCGTCTTGGGCTCAGGACTAGAATTGAAAGGAAATCATCCTATCTGCAGGAGCTAGAGGAACAAGTAAGTCCATCCTACTCAGTAATAGATTTAATATGGGAATGAGATGCCGTACTTGGTTTTGCTGCATTAGAAATTGCACTTGGTTATAATCACTTCATTTTTGTAGTGTTTAGTTTCTGTTTGCTAATTGCCTGTATTATTCTGTTAAGTTTGTAGGTCTTCAAAACCTTATTCAACGAAATGAACAGTTATATAGCTCTGGAAATCCTCCCAGCGGAGGTGTATCTTTACCCTTTATTCTGGTACAGGTAAACCATCATCTCACCTGTCTCTTTTTTTTCTTTTGGTTTCCCATAGGCTCCCTCCACCAGAGGTAATCCTATTCGAGGCTTTGTCGGATACTAAATGTAGGCACCTGTGAACCTTGGTTTGCCACGTTATGGGACACTAGCCCCTTCTGCTAGACCGAACCCCCGGGGGTGCCTCTTTTGGTTATTTTATCCAGTAGCAAATGTTGTGATTTTCTCTTGGATCTTCAATTGTATGATCTATATTATTCCACTTACCCACTTACCAAGCCTTATCCCACTAAGTGGGGTCGGTTACATGGATCGAAATCCGCCATAATGTTCTATCCAATACTATGTTTCTATCCAATTCGTATCTAAATGTTTCTATCCAATACCATGATTATATTACGTTGGCATAAATTCATTGCACAGAATGTACTTGATTACTTGACTTGAATTTTAACTTATTTGAATCTGTCTATGGAATGTAAGTGTGTAACAGCTAAAACTATACACTAGAAATATTTTATCAGCTCATGTGGTCAAGTTACTCTGGTTGCCGTTAGCCTTTATATCTGCTCAGTGCTATGTTATGAGTCTATATGCCAAGTTCTTTGCAACAAGAAAGTTTCTAACTTCTTAATTTTAATGAATAATTTACTTGTCCTGCTGGCGGCTGTGATATGTCTCTTATGGTTTTACTGTTTGACTAATCTCATATCTCTGGCTTTTTAAAACTGTAGACACGACCTCATGCAACTGTTGAAGTGGAAATATCAGAAGACATGCAGCTTGTTCATTTTGATTTTAATAGGTAAAGCTTCAGTTGCCCTTGCCATTCTTTCTGAGTTATGGCGTAACTATCTAGGTCTGTATGCTGTCTTATTCATTGCGAAGACTTCCTTGTTAAATAGTGTCGTTAAGTCATGAATTTGGAATTAGCTTATCCTATTATGGCCAAACAAAGGCCACTAAAAGAATTTTTCAAGTAGAGAAGTACTGGGAGGCAGTTATGGTGGTGTGTTTCGTTTGTCTTTGCTGTGAGATGTATCTGCAACTTCTTATTTATTTTACTCTCTTATTTCAGTACTCCCTTTGAGTTGCATGACGACAATTATGTGCTAAAGGCAATGGAATTTGGTGATAGACCACAGAGTGATACTGTTACACACAATGTTACAGATGCGGGTGAAGGTTCTAGCATGTCAGGCATGCAGTCACAGGTTCCTCCTTCAGTTTCAAGCGTGTCAACTAGACCTCCCACATCACCTCCACTCCCTGGAATATTAAAGGCAAGAGTTAAGCAAGAACATTGATCTGCAAGTTTATGATGTCCTCTTGCTTTTTAAGTATGTCTGTATATCTTGTAAAGAAATTTACCGAATTAATATACCTTCTTATTGGTCATCAGTACAGACAAGTCATTTGGTGGTAGGTCAGAAGCAGATTGGTCTGTTTGCTTCTCTATTGTTTAGGTTTAACTGGCAAATTCTTTTACTATCATCCACCATTTAATACCTTAGCAGAATTTTCTCCATATTTTTTGTGGTAACTTTTCCGGAGCTTTAGTTAGAGAGATCATGGAATGGGGTCCAACATCATAGATTAACTTCAGAGTTCACTGATTTACAGTGTAAATTGTAAAGTTTTCCAGCTTATATGGATATATTGGTTGGTATTTGGAGTTTTGGACCAATGCAAATTGCTTGTCTTGTACTATCATTTCCTAGGACCCTTTGGAGGCTCTTCGTAATCCAATTCAACTTCGGTGGAAATTTTGTTATCCAATTTTCTTTTGGAACATCATTAACACAATAACTGAATTAGTTGTTACTTAAATAGGTGCGTGTAGAGTGCCTTTGTTTGCAGTGGCTGTTTGTTTGTCTCGATTATATGCCCTAAGCATGGAAATTTTTTTGGCGAACATGTTTTTGGAAATGCCAAATCTTCATCTCGATTCATAAGGAAAAAAATGACATTCTAACCCCTGGGCATATTTGTAGTTCTTAAGGGACAAATGTGATTTTTTTCCCATTCTATAAGGCTTTGTTTGAGAGTTTGAAGGGAAGGCGAAGAGAGGAGAATCTTCCTGAACCATTTTATATTTTCTTTCACAAAAACAATTGTAAGTAAATTTTTGAAGTTTCTGAAAAGCTCCAATTTTTCAGATATTTTAGAAACACTATCAGACATTTCCATTTGATAACAAGTGAGTAAGAATTTTTTTATTGCATTTTAAAGCTTTTTTGTTTTTTTTTTGGGTTTTTCGTGAATTTTTATTGAATATTTCAAAAGGTTCAGTAAAAATGCATGGTTTTTTGGATATTTTGAAAATGTACAGTAAAAATTCATATGTTTAATTGGATATTTCAAAAGATCTGACAAAAATGTACAAGGTCTTTTGGATATTTAGAAAATTGTGGAAAAAATGCATAAATGTTTTCGGAATTTTCAAAATATTCGGTAAAAATCTATAAATATTGTTGGATTTTTTTAAATATCCAAGATAAATCTATACATACAAACATAGATTACAAAAAGCCGAAATGATTAACGGATATTTAAAAAATTCGAAAATATTAAGGCATTGTTCCGCATTTTTAGAAAAAACAGGAAGACCTTTTGCTTTTTTACCACAAATTTAGAAAAATTCGAAAAAGTCTATAATTTCTGGATATTTTGATAAATTCGGCAGGTTATTCAATTTTTTTTCCAGTGAAGACAAAAGCACAGACGATACGGTTGTTAGTAGACAACGTGAAAGAGATGCTGCGAGGGCTGTAGAGGACTCGCATCTCAGAGCAGGGAGAGTTGTAACACCCTTCTAAACCCACATATAATTTACGAGAATAATTCAAATAAAACTATCAACAAGGATGTCACATCTTCATATAAACATCATATAAAACATTATGTTCTGTAACACGGATTTTCAAAATCAATTATAACAAATACTTCATGAATAACAACAATGACATTTCAACTACTCGCAGCGGAATTCCTAGTTTCAAAACACTTTGATTAAAATACTTCATAGAAGTTTCATCATACTTCATCTTTCACGATTCATAATTCAAATAACACAAATACCATGAAAGATAGTTCAAATCTCAAGATAACTAAAAAATAATAATTAATTCAATCAAACGATCTAAACCCCGATGTTACATACCAAAGCAAGATCCATTTTTTAATAGGAAATAAATAACGCACTCTAAAGCTATTTGTTGTATCTAAAAATTTGGCCTCTCACTTATCAAATATTTTCGCACAAAGATCTCTCTTGGTTCAAGACTGCACTAGGGTTGATCAGCTCAAGACACCTCCTTAAGCACTGATGACCAAAATTAGGGTTTGAGATTGCACAAGGATATTTGAATTTTCAATGCTTCATATGACTTTCATGTATCATTCTAAGATTACTCATGTCAAGTTTCAAGCCTTGGATCACACTTTTGCTCAGTCAATTGAGCAGTTGACCTAAAAATCAGCTGTATTGGAGAAAAAGTCAACTATGGCCAATTTACAGTTAAACTTCATAATTTTTGATCCACACCAACATTATAAAATCATATGTATCATTTGATCAAGTTTGGACCATAATTTCTCAAGAAATTTGATCAAATCATCAAAAGGGCAAAATGATCAAATTAGGGTTTTGACTGAGAAAGGGCAATTTCTGATTTTTGACCTAGAAAATGGTCAATTGGTTTGAATCACGATCTCAAGATTTCAATTGCATCCTTTTTGACCTAATGGCATGACCTAAAGCATTGCTCAAGATCAATTGGATTGACAGTGAATTTTCAGTCAACTGATCAAAAGTCAATTGTACACTGAAAAGTCAAACTTTGACTTTTTGGTCAAAATCCAATGTCAAAGATCCCAATTCATCAAAACATGTCAAAATATGAAACTTATTCATCAAGAAATAAAAAAGTCAAGATTTCATTTTGAAAAGTCAAAGTTTTCTAACTTAGAAATTTTTCTAAGTGTTTAAAACTTCATGTTTTTTCATAACTTTGAGTTAATTTTTCACCATGATGCAAGATGATTCAAAAGAAACTTTCAACATGAAAGTTGTATATTTTCATGATATCTACAACATTTCTTTACACAACTTATTCTAAAAATGCTTGGATCTCAAGTTCTTAATTCATAAAGTCATGGTCTTGAAATTGAACACTTAGTGAAATTTTGCCATAGTTTTGGTCAGGATTTTGACCTAACTTCATAGAAATTTTTCATATAGTTTCAAGGGGAATTTTCAAAAGTGATTCAAAGAGGGGTTATAGAGCATATTACAAGCTTTCCAAAATGTCCAAGAACTCCTTGAGATCATTCTTGAGCATGGAGAATCGAAGAGAGGAAGTTAGGGTTTTCAAACTTAAATTACAAGTCATTTTGTGATGAATAAGAATTCAATTTCAAACCTATGCTGCACAATCTTGCTTTGCAGGCCTCTAAACCTTAAGATCTTTCCATAATCAGAAGATTACACTTGCTTTTGAGCTATTATCCACTTGATTCAAGCTTTATCCAAGTAAATTTTCCATTTATGACACAAAGTAACCATTCCATTCTTGTAAAGAAGCTTTAATCACAAAGTCAATGCATAGAGCTTTGCACTTGTTCCTTTTGATCACAAGAAATGTCAAAGGAAAAAGCAACATGTCTAGAGCCTCCCATAAACTCAGGCCATGCTTGTACTATGCCTTGAAACCATATTGTCACTTTTCTTCAAAATCAAGTAACATAGCCATGACTCTACATCTTGTGCTTCTGACCTCCTCAAGTACTCTAACCTTTTCCTTACTTATGCACAAGTATATTGCAATATAACACACGAATATACAAGCTCCCAAACTCCCTGAAAACTCAGATTGCACAAAACCTCCATTTTTGTGTCATTTCTGACTTTGAACTTCAATCTTCAAAACCACTCGTGCGTTTCTTGGCTTAACACTTCCAAAAGCTTCTTAGCATCATCATACACAAACCATTCCAATGTCTGTTTACAAACTGTAACACCATTTATACCATCCTCCATAACCAAAAAGAGGTCTGCATCTTGACTTCTCCAGGCCATTTCAGCCACTCTCAACTCAAGCTAAGTATTACATTAGCTTCCTAGAGGTCCAAGGAAGCTAACCTGATCATCACCACTGCCTGAAACAAGCTCAAATCCATTTCACGATTTCCAGTTTTAAGATATTTTTCTCGAACTTCTATCTTCATATTTAGGCATTGTTAGACTTGCATTTGTGAAGATAAAATATAGACATCATTGTCCTAAAACTATACATGTCCATAAATTTCTTAATTTTGATTGAGCTAAGAGAATTTTGAGTTTGAACTTTCTGAAATATTTAGGTCAGAATTTGGTACTTTTAGAAATTCTCATTCATCTTTGATTTATAGCTTATGATATTTATATGGTTGGATTCGTGTGACAAAATGGAGCAATTTTTATGTTTACATTTTTGCAAATGGTTGAGAAATGAACAAGTTGCAGGGATTTTGGCTGGAGGTTGAAGATGAAGTCATTTTCAGGACTGGATTGATGTTATGTATTTTTTGTTTTGCTTATGTTAACGAATGTACAACCACCCTAGTGGCAAAGGCAGCGCGCGTTTATCTCAAGGTCACGGGTTCGAGACCTAACATTGCCTTTTGTTCATTTTTGCAACATTTTTCTTCCTTTTTGCTAGCCACAAGCGCACATGGGCCTCCAATGCTTGGCCTTGCCAATTTTTGCTAGCCTTCCACCCTCCTGACTGTTTTTAACACCCCTGGCCCAAATTTCTTTAATTATTTTTCTTTTTCTTATTTTTGTTTTTATTTCTTTTCTTCTTTAATATTTTTATTATTATTATTATTATTATTATTATTATTTTTATTACTATTATTATAAAAAATTCAAATTTATTTTTATTTATTATTTATACTTATATATTTTATTTTCTCCATAAAACAAAAAGATAAAAAACATTTTCTCAAAATAAATTAACCTCCTCTTCTTAAATAATATAATTTTTAGACTTAGGTTAAATTAATATATTATTTTATTTTCTTAGTTAAAACTAATTTAGAATTTAGGTTATTTTTTTAATTAATTAATCTTCATTTTATTTTCATTAATTTAAAACCTTTTCATAAAAAACCCTAAAAATCCTTTTCAAATTAATTTCTTTTCTTAATTAGTTTAAGTTAATTTTATTTAATTTTATTTAATTTTATTTAATTTTAATTAATCATTTTCTTTAATTAGGTCAAGACAAAATCCCTTTCATAAAAAACAACAAAAATCATTTTT